AGAAATGAAAGGAGCAGTCTTCGCCTTTGTTTATGTTGTATGTCTTACTGTATGTCTGTAAACAAGGCATTGAATGTTTGCCTTTGTCTGCTGTGATACTGTAATCCACTCTGAGTCCCTCTGGGGAGAAGGGTGAAATAGAAATAAAGTGTGTTGTTGTTGTTTAAAACTACTGGGAGACATACTGTGGAAGCATGGGTGCTACCACTGTGCCAATGGCACACAAATATATTCTGTATGCCTTGTAAAATGACACCAGCATAGTATATCGCCTCTGAATGAATGCCTATATGAAGTAATGTTGGAATCCACACTGAGTCCCCTCGGGGAGAAAGGGCGTAATATAAATAAAGTTTTTTATCATTAATATGCTGCACGAGGAAAAACAAATTGAATTTGAACACAGACAAGATGGAGGCACTTACTGTATAGGGTTCTAACCCAAAGTTGCAGATAGATTAACCAGTCCTGGGTGAGGTTACAATCCCCATGAAAGTTTATTCACAGCTTGGGAAGTTTCGGCATCAACTACTCCAAAAGACAACCCAGCTAGATTTGATGGCCAGGAGTGCTTCCTAAAAGGTTTTGGCTAATACACCAGCTGTGTCTCTTCCTAGAGTTGTAGGACTAAATAAACTTTATTTAAATCACTCTACTGGCTGCCAATTAGTTTCTTAGAAAGGTACAAAGTATTATGCTACCCTGAAAGCTGGACATAGTTTGGGTCCAAGTTGCCTATAGGATAGTTTTCTCCGATATAATGCCTCCCATACTTGCTAGTTCTGTGGGACAGTTGCCAGGACCAGGCAGGCAACGTTAAGCAGATGACTTTTTCATCAGCCACTCCCAAATTGTGAAATGACCTGCCGGAAGAGATTTGACAGCTGCATACGCTGTCTGCATTTAAAAGAGCACTAAAGACCAATCTCTTCCAGCAAGTCTATCCTGATTGCTTTTAAATTACAAGTTTTAAAATGATGAATTGGTTGTTTTTAATATGTGTACCTTTTAAAATGATATTATGTTCTTTTACTGATTATGTATTTTTAATTGGTGTTTGTGTTTTCAAGTGTTATGTATCATTTTGTTCCTGCATTTTAATCTGTTTTTCCCTGCTTTGATCCAGGAAAAGGCAGGTAATTCTCACTTGTCTCTTCTAATAGATTGGGACTGGGAACAACAGATTAAAATATAATAATAATAATAATAATAATAATAATAATAATAATAATAATAAACTTTATTTGTATTCCACCCTATCTCCCCGAGGGGACTCAGGGCAGATTCCAACATAACAATGACAAGCATTCAATGCCTACATAAAACACACAATACTAACATAACATCTCAGAAAAACCCCACATATAAAAGTAGCATTAAAACCTAATATCAAATTAAAAACCTAACATCAGTAAATTAAACCTGACACCAATAAATTAAACTACACATAGACAAAATTATATAAGAAAAGAAATCTAAACAAAACAGCCACAAACAGACACACAACACAGTTAAAAATACAAACACCAATTAAAACATTATTATTAAGCTGTTGGCTTTCCTACAGTTCTCTGATAATATTAGGCTGCTTATGATAACTGATGGGATGTTAGTGCACTCTCAATGACAGTACTGGTGCTGCAAATAAGAAACCAGAGACAACGAATTAATAATAATTATGTAAAAATGTGTTTTTGTGTAAAAGACCAAGCCACAACATAAAGTACCTTTTCTCCAAAACTCGGGAAATTTTTCCCAAGACAAAAATAGAAGAGAGCATGAAAAGTTGCCATGTTGGTCCCCACAGTGTCTCTCCCCAAAGTGATGGGCAACTGTGAATAGAAATATGATTGTAGGCACAACAAAGAAAGGCTCCTTATGGCACACTCCCTTAAGGTATTAGGAGGGGTGTATTTTGTGCGTGTGTGTGTGTGTGAGAGAGAGAGAGAGAGAGAGAACGAATGGTTTCAGACAAGGGAGACAGGAGAGTGAGAACTTGCGAGGGAGTGGTAGGCATGAAAGTGAAAGGAGAAGGAGAAAGGGGGAATTTGAGAATTTGAGCAAGAGATGTTAATAAAAACAGCAAGGAAAACTGAACAATGAGCAGAAGCAAGGTTAGCAAAGTGTACAGTCATGCAGTTCAAGGTTCTAGAAAAGGTGTGCAGAAGACAGAAGAGGTGGGTGAAGAGAAAAGGCCAAAAGAAATTGAAAGTAATAGCAGTGATACATTTATTGCCAAAATCACAGTGAAAGAAGGTGAGGATGATAAGAGTGTGCCAGAAGAGAAGTTAGGGATGGGGTTCATAGACGTAACGAGACTAATAAAATAAGGAATAATTTTGTAGATAATATAATTTTCCAAATTTTATCAAGTGTTTTTGGGCCAGAAATAGAGAATAGTATATTTTCCACACAAGGAATAAAACTAATTTGAGAATAATAATAATAATAATAATAATAATAATAATACGAAATCCAGCACATATATCTCGTTTGCTGTGACATACTGCGATTTTGTGTCAGTAAAATAATAATAATAATAATAATAATAATAATAATAATAATAGTAATAGTAATTTTATTTCTACCCCACCACCATCTTCCCGCCGGAGCACTACCTATTGATCTACTCACATCTGCATGCTTTTGAACTGATAGGTTGGCAGAAGCTGGGGCTAACGGCGGGAGTTCACATTGCTCCCCGGATTGGAACCCGTGACCTTTCGGTCAGCAAGTTCAGCAGCTCAGCGGTTTAACCCACTGTGCCACCAGGGGCTCCTGGTAGGTATATGTAACAGGACTAATATATCTAGTCAGCAAAGGAAATGATCTTCTGGTGAAGTGCAGCATTTGCCCCAACCCAATGGAAACAGCCATTTCTGTAGATTTAAGTTCCTAAGTCAATATGGAACACTATTTTAAGGTAAGTCTTTCTTAGAGTGGCAACATTTTGTAGCAGTTTTCTTTATTCTCCTATAACAAGGTCTGTTCTTTAGAACTTGCCAGGTGCTTTGAATGTGCTGTGAATGTCCCTTTCGTCCAATTTTGTCTCAGGATTTCTATTTTTCCCCTCTTCGCTTTTTAGAGAGTACATCCTGAGAAATGAAGGTCACTGGAGGAAAAAGGGGAATGATAAGAGTGTCTGAACAGCAGACTGATGGCCCCCAGGGAAGCAGCAAATTCAGAGCAGTACTGTTAAGTATGGGAACGTCTGTTTCTCCAAAATATGTCTGACCGAAAATAAGAAAATAGTCATTGTTGTGGTTTCTTGTTTTTTCTTTTTCTTTTAAACACACATCAGCCATCTAAGGGAGATTATAATCTTTATCATGTGGAATTTGCAGGCAGGAAGGTGGCTAGGGTATAGTTTTTAGTTTTGCTTTTGTGCAGTACTGTTGATAGCAGAGTCCTGGAACCAAGTACCAGCAACTACCAAAGGCTCACTGTAGTAGGTTCAATTGAATGGAATGTAAACAAACACACCCATTTTAACATAAACATAACACACAAGGTTTTCAAAGTTTTAGTGTAACATAGCATCACTTTTTCATAAATGTATTCTCTGGAAATAACCATGCAATAAGGGAGTGGTTCCCAACCTGTGGGTCCCCAGATGGTTTGGCCTAATAATAATAATAATAATAATAATAATAATAATAATAATCTTTATTTGTTACCTCGCCTCCATCTCCCCAATGGGAACTCGGAGCGGCTTACATGAGGCCAAGTCCAAATGACAATTACAATAAAGAAAAACCAAAAACACAAACCGAAAATGCGAACAACAAACAATAACATCATAGTTACATAAAACACATGAATACATAGCAATATGAAAAAGAAAGAATATGCACAGGCACAATAATAATGGGTGGGCAACATGTAGTAATTAAAAGGACAAACTGATTAAAACTAATTAAAAAGTCGGGCGAGATAAAAGAGAGAAGCAGGTAATTTACGGAGGAGGGCTCATTTTAGCAGGAGTTGTGGAAGCAAGCTTTCCCATAAGGGGAGATGTATACTCCAATGACAAAACTTTGAGGCAGAGCAATCATATGGGATTATATACCTACTCATCAAAGGCGCAGCGGAAAAGCCAGGTTTTAAGGTTCTTTTTGAAGATTTCTAGGGAAGGGGCTTTCCTAATTTCTCCAGGCAGTGAGTTCCAGAGTCGGGGAGCCACAGCGGAAAAGGCTCTCTCCCTTGTACTCACTAGGCGAGCTTGAGAGACTGGCAGGGGCGAGAGAAGGGCCTCCCCGGAAGATCGGCGAGCCCGAGATGGTTCATGGCGGGAGATACGGTCACAAAGGTAGGAGGGCCCCAAACCATTTAGGGCTTTGTAGGTGATAACCTGCACCTTGAATTGGGACCGGAAAATAAACGGCAGCCAATGGAGCTCAATTCCCAGAAATCCTAACAGCTGGTAAACTGGCTGGGATTTCTGGGAGTTGTGGGCCAAAACACCCAGGGGACCCACAGGTTGAGAACCATTGCAATAAGACCTCCATCCAACATGATTCCTCTCCTATGAGATCATAAAACTAATGACAAAAGGACTCACAAGAAAACAGCAAACCTAGATTAACCATGAAAGTTTAAACTGTATCCCAATGAAAACAATCTGGAGTACACAAAACAAATCACAAAACCAAACCCAAAAAATAAAATTGCAGCACACCTTTCTTTGATTTCTAATAGGCCCTCACTATAAGGCTAAGCAGATATCATGCACTATTATTATTATTATTATTATTATTATTATTATTATTATTATTATTAACTTTATTTGTACCCCGCTAGCATCTCCCGAAGGACTCAATGCGGCTTACATAGGCCAAGGCCTCAAAACACAACACAACAATACAACACCTAAAGCAAATTAAAAACAGTTAAAACAATATTAACAACAAGCAATAAACAATACATCAAGACACTATAAAAACTAGCTGTCCTTTAGATCTGTTAACAACTTTCTGGAAGTGAGACAGAAATTTTAGTACCTGTGACAGCAGCGTAGTCTCCTCCTTTCCATCTTCACTAGCATCGTTTAGCATGAAGGCTGGAAAATGAGAGGGAAAAACATGAGCATTTTTTTTTCAAAATGACACCTTATTTTCAAATTTGACAAATTATGTCTAAATAGGATGTAAGAAGCAATTTAGCTAATAGTATCGCTTAATGCACAAAAAAGCCTGTCATAATTTTATTCAAGCTAAAGACAATTCTATTTCAAAACTTGTATCACTTACTATAGTCAGACGATTTTACTCTCATGCATCTCTGGACAGAAAATCGTTTTTTGATATAGAGCCAATTTATTTTGGCTTCAAGTCAAAACAAATCCAATTTTTAAAAAATCTGGCCACTCTACTTTAGTTTACACATTATTACGTGATCGCATTGGAAACCTGAATTTCTCTATATCCTTAGGTTAAGGTTTGTCATTATTAGAGGGAAAAATCTTTGAATCCAGGGTGAGAAGGAGTTCATGCTTTAGTTTATTGAAACAATGCCAGGCATGAGGTTCTTTTACATTTAGAGGGAACAGTCATTCTTCTTAGGTGCCAACTGTTAACAGCAACCACAGCTGCTACTAATATATCAAGGTCAAGCAAACCAGGTTGTTATATCTAAAGGTAGACAACTACAGGTCAGATACCAGACTGAATTGCTACCATCTCATATACATTAAAATAAATTTGTAAGTTTTCTATCTGAAAAGACAAGACATGTTTTCACCCATCAATCCTTCTTTGCCAAAGTTATTATCTATTAGAGACTAGCAAATTACAATCAATTTGGTTATCAATTAACTTTTAAAATTCCTAATGAAATTGGATGGCTTTATTAAATTTGATGGACTTCACTAGTTTGCAGCAACTTAATTCCAGAATCTGCCTGAAGGAGGAACAGTTTACCTTGCCTTCTGAATCACATCAGTGACAGCTTCTCCCATGCCCATGGTCTTGAACAACTGTTCCTTGACATACAGGTATACATGCATCATGCCTGTACTGCTGCTATATAACATCTGAAGTGTGCTATATGCCACTCCATCTTTGATAGATGTGCCACAATACTCTATCCCTAGTTGTCCAGTACAGAAAGGAAACATCATCCTGCTTAAGGTAGTTCATAATGCAGTGTGTAATAGTAGATAATGAGCTCCATCAGTACTGGAGTCTTATAGGTTCGACTGAAATAAATGACTATTTATCACACTTATTTCCTTATATATCATGTCAGAAGTGAATTGAGAATACAGTTATAATGCAATTTGGCCCCCTGCTATGACCCAAGGTCTAGTCCGTGCACTTTACTACTTTCCCCGTCCATAGATATAGTGTTCTCACTTCATCTTGCCCTTCTACTCCTAATTCTGTCATCTGGCTTTTGCATTTTATCCATCAACCTTGTCCTTACAACTGATTGCACCAGCCTGCTCACCCAAGTCCAGTAAATGTTTACCATATCAGGCTTCTGGTGTTTTTATACCCTGTTATGATGTTGTTCATTTTATATTGTTTTATGATGTTGTTTTACGAATTTTACTGTGCTATATTTTAAATTATATTGTTCGGGCTTGTCCCCATGTGAGCCGCCCCAAGTCCCTTCAGGGAGATGGAGGCGGAATACAAAAATAAAACTATTATTATTATTATTATTATTATTATTATTATTATTATGCTTAAAAAATCTACCAAGTGAAAAACTTGCCATTATACTAAATTTCCTTTGACCAGAAGCTGACCATTTCAAGTGCTTCTGGTGTGCTGTAAGAAGGTCCTCCATTGTACATGTGGCAGGGCACAGACTGCATTATAGTAGGTGATCTATGGTTTGTTCTTCTCCACACTTGCATGTTGTGAACTCCACTCTGAAGACCCATTTCTTAGTTCTACATCTCATGGTATCAAAGCACAGTCTGTTCAGCACCTTCCAAGTAGCCCAGTGTTCTGTGTGCCTAGAAGGGAGTTTCTCATCAGCCACTGAGCGAGGTTCCGAGTTTTAGCCTGCCACTTTTGGACTCTCGCTTGCTGAGGTGTTCCTGCAAGTATCTCTGTAGATCTTAGAAAACTGTGATGGAATTGTATAGGTCCCAGATCATTTTATTAGGCTATCTCACCCACAGTTTGAGAAATGCCATTTTCGTGTTGGTTTTACGAGAGTGGAGCTAAAGGAAATCCTTTCTGGTTTGGAGCAGTAAGTTGGCCTGCCCCTTTACCTGGGGAAAGGGAGACATTTTTACTTTAAGTTTATTACCACCAGGGAATCTTGGAAGCAAGAAGTGTTTATAGTTGGTCCCAGCAAGATCCAAGCTTGGACAAGCCATTTCAAGCCAAGTATTCCATTCTAGGAACTCATGCAGAGATACTGATCTACTGCTGGTCAGTGGCAGCCTGTGGAGTTTCCAGCACCTTCAGCGAGGTGCCGGGCCTTAATAGGAGAGATCTCTCAGCATCTGGCCTGATCACTTTGGGCATTGGGCATCCCTTTACAAGAGAAAGTGAGCAAGGAAATCTTTCATTTGCCCTTTGTCTACAGAATCATCCATGAACAGCGACTTCAAGAACCAGTTACCTTCAAAATTTAGGTATGAACTTTGTTGTGGGGAAATCAAGATAGCCTGTGCGGAGATAAGTCCAAGACCAATCAATAAAATGTCACTGTTTCTTGAAAGTAATAGCGTGAACATTGACTCTGTGGGGTTCCTTGCTCAAATAGGAAGGCAGACCAGCATCCCCCAAGCCGATAGAAAGTTAGCACTAAAGTCATTTAAAGCACCTTGGGTTGGCATGCTGACTGATATTTGAACAGAGGAAGTCCTTTCATTATTGGCTGCTACTTCCCACTGTTATCACACTGATGAATGCCAAGCTGGCAACAGAAAAACAACAGCTATCCAGGATGTTATTCTGTATAGGTATGCCAATTTGACATGTATCTCAGACACCTTTATGGATGAGCTGGGTGGGGGATCTCTCTGCACAACATAGCAGAAGTGTAGATGTAGTTGACCAGGCACTGTATCATATCACCAGGTTTTGATTGTGTATGCTGTTCAACTGTCTCCATTTCTGAATTAGCCAGAGTTGTCTTGGAGATTGCCTTCTGGTTCTGAGAGCATTCAATCAGGAGTGGCTCAGGATTTCATGGTCTCTATGATGACATCACATCTGTCTCAAAAAAATATCTGGACCCATTCATGCTGTGAGCCACACTTGGGACCTTGTTTCCTGTGCTAGATGGGGTGATGGTGATTTTGATATGAAACAACTCCTGGAGTTTACTGCTAGATCACTGCTGATCAAGAAATAATGCCAGAAGACTGTTGCAGTCTGTCTGACAGAAGATGAGCTTGAACATACAGTGTGGGCAACGAACAAACTATTCCTTGCTGGTTTCCTTATGTCTGCAAGGGGGTCTCCAATGGAACTGTCTGGAATGGTGAGAGGTCTGCTACATTATGGGCCAGAAGAAGGTAATGCAGATGATTTTACAGGCTCACATGAATAATCTGCATAGCACTTTGCAAATGAAATCATTCAGATCTGTTACAACTCTGATACCATCATTGATACAGTCCAAGAGTGTGTAACGCTGGCTCCTGTTTGCTTAGTTATAATGGATCCTTTTCTATTTGTACAGCCTGAGAATGTGGACAGGGTCCTTCAAGAAGTGGGAGCTACCACAAGCCCACTAGGACCTTGGCTTTTTGACTCATTAAAAGAGCCCGAATGTCGCACCTCAGAATAGATTCCCCTTGCTGAAATCACCAAAACTGCACACAGACTGAAGTCTTTGTGGCTTATTAAAAAGTAAAAGATGAAAAGTTTATAAAAGCAAGTAATGTTCCAAAGATCAATAAAACATAGCACTATAAAGCAGGATTCCAAGAGGCACCAACGAAACAAAGTCCCATGAGAACATGACAAAATCCCAAGATCATGGACACAAGAACTATAAGATAATCCAGGCAAACCAGCACACGCTGCTTGGTTGAGTGAGAAGTTGCTCTGACAAAGCTTTGTTTTCAAACACACTGCTTAATATCCTTTGCAATACATGAAAGCATTTCTCTGGCCTCTGGCCTCCTTCTTGTTGGCTATTCTCACACTCTTTCGAACTCTGAATTCCAGCCCAATCTAAGATTCCCGATTCCTCAAGGTCAGGCTGCTCATTAGTGTCAGCCTGGTTGCCTTCCTGCTTACTATCAGGCTAAGAACTGTCCTTCTTTTCTGAGTCAATTTGCACCTGGCTAGTTTCAGTATGAAAAACATCATTCCCTGCTGTGGGAAACTGAACTTGCACACCCTGTTCCTCATTGTCTACAACAGGAACATTTTGAACCTGACTGTGAACCTGAATCCCATCATCCTCGTCAGAGTCTCTCTGAAACCCCATCTGAGTCACAACACTATCAGTCTATGTCTTTGGTTCCAACTGAGTCACAACACCGAGAAAGACTGGCTACGTGAATACATTCACATCCAAAACTATGCTGAACCTTTCCACCCATATCAACCATTGCAGAAGCCAATGCTAGTCTGAGGCATCTTCCTGACTTTTCTTTAACAAAAGCCCCCTTTGCAGACAGTTGCATTACTATAATTCTTAATAACAGCAGCTTACAAACAAAGGATAATCTACTGGATATCCTGCTGCAAAATATCCTGTCTCCTGCTTGCAACTGGATAAGCGGTGCTTTTCAATTTGGTGGGAAACAAACCCATCTAAGCAGTGTCAACCACTGCCATCTCCATCCTTGGTTGTACTATGCAATTTGCTGTCAAGAATCAGTTTATGCAGCTTGGCTGATTAACAGAGTGTAATAATTGTATTAGTGTTCATTTTCTAATTAAAGAGTTGTAATACACACAATAAAATATAATACTGCTAAAATAAAAATATAAATAAAATATAATACTTGCACCGGGATTGTGGTGCAGTTAGCTGGGAGTCAGCTGCATTAAGATCACTACTGACTGAAAGGTCATGAGTTCGAAGCCAGCCCGGGTCGGAGTGAGCTTCCGACCAAAATTGTGTAGCTTGTTGTCG